AAAAAACTGCATTTTAATCTAATGTCTTTTGCTTTAAATATAAAACTCTGACGAATTGATTTATACAACGTATACTTCATTTGAAGTTATATAAAACCAGAAAACATTTTATAGTGTAAGATTATTTTACATAATAATAGTTTTTAGTGATAAATGTCTTAATAATTAGCCCTAGAAAGAAGGAAACGAAGTGAATATAACAATCTCAACGGGAATTCGATTTTATTTATTATCCCTCCTCTCCTGGTTAATCATTAAGGGATTACAGTCTTTGCTATTAGTAGATTTATGTGTTTCACATTGTAAAAGAATAGGGTAATATATTACTATTTATGAAAATACGTTATGTAACAAAGTATAGATTTTATTAAAAAATATAAACAGTCATTTCCCTTTTGAAGTTTATATGGTTGAGTTCACTGAATATATTCTCACTTATAACTTGAACGACATACAGAAAAGATCACGAAGAATGATTTTACATGACTTCATTTTGACTACTATTTAATGAGGACATTAACATCACCTCCATCTTTATGAAAATTATTGCTGATCTATTCCGTGTTATTCTTCAAGCTGTCATTATATATTTATTCTTACTTCTACTGCAAAGGATGTTTGAGGAACCAACGGAAGAGGGCCATATTCTTTATTTTGTTCTACTTGAAATTTACTTATTTAAATTCTTTTCTGTATAACAGTGCAACAAGTGTTATGAAAAAGGATGTTCAATGTTTATCAAAATGCACCAATGTCTTCAAATATCATGTTGTGTTCAGTCATTTCCGGTCAAGTTAATAAAAACGTAATTATTGAAATGTCGTTCTCATGATATAGGTCTTTTATTCTTTCAGCATAGTGGTTATTTAATTGATTAGGAAGTAAACCTATTCTAATAAAAGTCTAAATTTCGAAAGGGATATTAACAGAATTGTTATCTGACATTTTTATTTCAATCATTTTCGCTGCCTACGGTTAACAAACATAAACTAATTGATTCTATATCAAGTAGATGTAAGTGCAAAAGCACATATTTTATAAAGAAATGCTTAGTTATATAGCGTGACATCTTATTGATATATAATAAATATTTATTGTAACATCTTGGATTAGATACTGAATAATGGGACTATTTATGTGCGCATTTAGGAGGAAATAGCAATTTTATTTGCGCAAATATAGGGTTTTCCAATAACTTGGACTGATTTTAAATGTGAATTAATTTTAAGTGTCTAATGAATTTTTTTTTCTTTCAGATCTGGAAGATATTTGGGCGATATTATTTTGCACACACAATTGCCATGACTTAAATAACATAATCCAATAGAGAAATAAATAAGTTTTCACCAATAACAATGATTCATTTACTGCTGACTTTGATCCGTTTTAATGAAACACCATTATATATAATCCGTCTTAATGAAACACCCTAAACTATGTCTTCCTATTAATGTGTAAGAGTATAGATAACAGATAGCGAAATTTAACGGCATGAAACCCTTCAGAAAGCGTTAAAAAATTGAGGAATGATAAACATTAATTGTAAGAAAATAAAATGTACGGCTGTCAGCAAATGGAAGCGGACAGTATAAGAACAAAATCGAATAAGAACAAAAATTTAAATATCAGGGAAGTGTTTTCACATGAGCCGGAAAATGTGACACCAAAATCCCAAGGTAAATTTTAACATCGAAAAATGCCTTCCAAATGCTATGCTGAACATTAAGAAAGACTTAGCTTTTCTTAGAAAGAAAGAAAAAATATGAACAGTTATACGGATGAAGAGAGGAATTAGAAATGTGGTTCTACAAAAGAATGCTACAAAAATCTGCCACATTTTTTCCCATGCTCTTGGTATATAGAGATTCTTGAAAAAATCCAAAGAAAAATCAGCAATATTATTGGTCTTGATCTGGTGATTTGGCTTCATTCACTTTCCCATGGCCATAATTTTGCTCTCCTGTACCTTTTCTAGAAATACGTCTATTGTAATTGTTCGTATGAATTCTTCGCTATAGTAACTAGTAGGGGCGTAAGGCAAGGATGCGCCTTCCCACATGAACTTTTCAACCTATACAGCGAGACAATTCTGAGAGAAATGGAAAACCTACCGTGATTCAGTATTGGTGACCACAATCTTAATAACATAAGATACGCAGATGACGCAGTACTGATAGCAGACGAGGAAAAGAAATTACAAAATCTCTTATAGAATGTAGCGACGGAGAGTGAAAAGAATGGACGAAGCATAAACTGCAAGAAGACAAAATGCATGGTCATCAGTAAAAGTATGAGCCGGGATGTGATTTGCAGGTCGGGAACACTAGAATCAAACAGACGTGGAAGTATAAATATCTGGGAAGCGTTTTGTTTCCGACACTGAGATCCGTAGACTTATTGGGGTGACCAAGGACGGATTCCAAAAGCTGGGCAGAGTATTGTCAGACAGCAGAATTTCTTTGGTAACAAAGAAAAGAATTCTGAGCTTTTAAGCGACATACAGTAGTGGCCATAATATAAGGAACGGAAACAACAAAGACATAAATATGTGTATTACTTAAAAAGTAATGCATGATTAGCAATTAAATTTTTACCGAATAAAGATTAGGGTGGAATGCATAAATATTATATAAAGTTATAAAAATTTACATAATAGTTTTTTTTTTATCTTTGTTGTTGCCGTTCCTTATATTATGGCCGCTACTGTATGTACTTCTTTACGGTAGTAAATGTTGGATTGGACGATTTCTTTAAAAGTGAAGAAGAGACTCGCGGAGACGGAGATGTAGTTCTACAGAAGGGTGCTAAGGTTATCATGGACCGAGGGTGTGAACAACGATGAGGTTTAGAGACGATCCAAACAAGTGGGAGACTTATATTTAAGACCAGGAAAAGGCAGCTGAAGTTTCTTGGACGCATAATAAGGAAGTAAGGTCTGTGAATCTGATACTCACGGGTCGATTACAAGGAAAGAAAGACAAAGGAAAACAACGCATGATATACCTAGCGGACTTAAGCAAGTTAATGACAGAATGTGGCCTTTGGGAGGTAGCAGAGGGAACGCAATTCTTGAGAGCTGCAAATGACAGAAGGAGGTGGAGAGCCATGATCGCCTACGTCCTGAATGGACAGGGCACATAAAAAGGAAGGGATAATTTGGTAACAAAGGTGAATTGAATAGATGTAGCCGTAAGGTCTATGCTTATAGTTTCTACTTCGCATTTCTCACTTGTGGAACACTCCTCTGCCTCCATGCTTTCCGACCAACATTGGTCTTCAAAAATTTAAATGCAATGTCAATCGTTATCTGTTGTTTTCCTGAATACTCATGTATTGTTACGCTCCTTAATAATGTTTCTGATTTCTAATTCTTTGACAGACAGTAAACCCTTATAATTTAGTGGTTTAACTGCTATGCTTGGGGTGATTGCGTCTTTTAAAAAAAAAGTTCTAAGGAAAATAGAAACAAAATGACTTAGGATCAGAATAAAGGAATTACACTTGTTTAGAATTCACCATTCTAAGAGAAAATGAGAAGAGACGGCTTGGAGAATTTCGCGTTCACCAAGCATGTTGAAGCCAAATGATAGAAGCAGACATTGAGTAATCTGCCTGGCAAGTTTGTGTAAATAGATGACAATAGAGAGTTTAGGAGCGATAGCAAAAAGAAAAGCATTAATATGTTCTAAGAATACATGAAATCCTATCTTTATCGCTCACGTTCATATGTTAAACGGCACATATAAGATGTCCGTGGTTTATATGTGCTAAATACAGCTGCCGGCATGGTAACATTATTTTCTTCTATAATATTGTGCAGAGTAATTCTCCACTCATTTTCCCATAAGACCAAAGCCATGTTGAACAAATAGGACGCGAGCCGAAGAAACCCATAAAGCACCAATTGTTAGTCGAGTTGTAATATCTGTGAGCTTGGCTGTACCTGATATGTACAAGAGAGCTAAAATCTTTTGGACTGGACAACGAGTCGAAAAGTGAGTCTGACAGTCTTTAATACATGGCCCAAAGATAAAATGTTTTACTTCTTCTAGAGGATCCCTGAGGACTGTTCATAGATTAGCCATGAGAAATTGACTAAATATTACAATGTAATAAAATGTAATTTTTACTAGTGTTCTCTCAAGAAAGAAAATTCTTAAAGAGCCACTCAAGATAGAGTGCAACTAAATGAAGTCTCCGTAAGCGCGTACAGGGAGCGAGGTACAGTTACGCATTATGGAGATACGTAGGATATACAACGGTTGACTCTCGACTTGAAGTAGTTAAGAATGTAGAGATCGGTGAAATGTTCATTTGGAAATCTATTTCCTGACGCAGCAGTTCTTGGGATGAGGCTGTCTGAGTTGAATTTACTCCTCAGTAGAGGAATACACAGCAAACAGCAATAGTGGATTACGACAACTAGCGATAGATTAGAAATGGGCGTGCAACGTTGTTAAAATTGAAACAAGGGAGCAGAGTGGATTAAGCACCTTTTAAAATATCACAAAAACAATCATAAACTCAAGGATGCAGCGTGTGAATGGGTTTGCTTCAAATCACATATACCACAAATGCTACATTTTTCTTTGTAATTTTTCTTGTAAAGATAAAATATTTCAGAAATGATGGATTGTTTTATACGACGTATACTCTATTGTGTTGATGCGGCATTCACCCTGGGCGGATTGAACCGGCTTCTTCCTGTTATGAGAAGAAGATTCTTGGGATAAATTACAGTAGGGTACCCATGCCTACTCGGATAACGTTCATGCTTGCCGCGGGGTTCCCACAGACGCAGAGACAGGAACGACCAGAAGCCGCCGGTTACCGATGCAGACGCTCCTTGGATTTTCACCAGAGCCCTTGTTAGCCGGCGTGTGTGTCAAACCTGTCCGCCTTGGGTGGCCCTACCAGGAACGAAGTTCCGGGCGGCATAGCTCTGACACTACCGTTTACACCCCCCACCGACTGTGAGGTAAGGGTTGGACTTTGGAGGCGTACAGTACAAGGTGTTCCCAAGCGGTCCCCCATGACCTGGCTCTACGCTGCTTAACTTCGGTGATCGTACGAGAACCGGTGTTTCAGCGTGATTTGACCGTATACTCTATTGGTAGGTTATTTAAAGCCAGAAAATATTTTAGAATATAAGATTTCTTTTACATAATAATGGTTTTTACTGATAAAATTTTACTATTTAGCCATAGCTGTAGGGAAACGCAGTGAATTCATATCTTTTTCAAGGGTATTTACGCTTAAGTGAATATATCGAGCTTACCGAGAATTCGAACACGGCTTTCCGATTAACAATTCCGTGTTATTATCCATTATATCATCCGCACACCCAAGCTTACAGCATCTGATATTCCCAGACGGTAAACCATCTACGCACTGACCAGGATCGGAGTTAATTAGCTTTAGATATTTTACAAGAAGCAGTGTTTCAACTTGATGTACCTGGAAGCCTATTTTGACAGATGTTGTCAGGTAATTTTTGAAGCTGTACGAGAAGCCGATACTTTTTCGCGAATTTAGCGATGCGTCGTATATAAGTGTTCCACTTGGAGACTGGAGAGGACGTGCGTCCCAGTAGATGTTCAAATGAATATAAAGAACCCAACAGGAATTGGAACTCAGCACTCCGACTACCAATTTCGAGCCATTATCCATTTCACCAAACGCGCATCAAAGCATACAGCACCTGCTATTCCAAGATATTCGCCACTTTAAGTATTAACCAGTCTAGACGCTGCTTAGATCCTCACTAATGAATGGAATTAGTATGAGTTGATTTAGTGCCCCTGTTGTGAAAATCTGGACTAATGGAATGAAGGTTTGCAGTTCACTCAGATATCTGCCATGAAAGTTGCCGTAGACTCACTAGGGTAGAACAACGGAAATGATTCATCACCATCAAGGCTGGTTAAACGTTTGGCAGATTATTATCTTTATTCCGGCATGCTTATTGAATACACTTATTACGTTTATTCCGGCACGTTTATTAGTTATTTAATATTCTCCCGTGGCCGGATTATTTCCTTTCTTCTTTATATAAAAACACCATAAATTTAAACCGGTACACTTATTCTGTAAACTGGAAAATTCTCACCGACACGACTATACTAGCCTTGTATTTAGCACAAAACGGATCTATATAATAGCATCCAATAAGAAATATTTTTGAGCGGAACAACTTCTGATTCGCAGACATCGATTGCCTCATGTTAGTATAATGTTAAAGAAATGTGTTCAGTTATGTTTTTATCATGTTATAAAAAATACAAAACGAACAATTAAAAATTAAAAAAATACCTACAGAAGGATATAGTTTGACTCTTTGGTTCAAATAATTAATGTATGTAACAGGAATCATTAAATTAAAGCTGAACGATAGAGTTGTAGCATAAGTGGTCTCTTACTTATTTATGTCTATCTCTATCACTCACATCTCTTTCTGGCATTCCGAAAGAAAGGTCAAAAATATAAAATTCTGTAATGTACTACACTTTGTTGTTTGCCAAGAACAGTGCAATCGTGTTATATTTATCGGGTTCACTGATCTTATTCATGTAAAGCTATAGTCGACGTTGATAAATCTGTACAATAATTATGGAACCTAATTTAAGAATCACGTTTTATAGCATCTTTTACTAATCCTGTAGAGTTACGCTCCTCATTTTCTTGTGATGTATTATTTTAATAATCTTTTTACGTAGTAAAGTATAGTTTTAATAACATGGTTTCTCGCTGATGTATGGTTTTAATAATGTTATTGGACTGATAAATCCTCAGTTATCTCCCATTAAGATCTAGGAGGTATAAAAAGCAAACTGTTTAATCCGTTAGTGGACGAGTAGTCAGAGTAAAGTGCAATAATCCTTTGGTATAAGTTTATTCACTGCTTCTGTTTTTATTATAGGTATTTCGGTGTGAAGTATACTTTTAATAAGATTGTTTCGTAGGTGTTACAAATTTAATACTTTCGTTTCATTGAAGTATAGTTTTAATAATCTAGTTCCTTAGTGATATATTAATTAAATAACGTCATATTGTTATATACTATTAATAACATTGTTTCTTGGTGAATATATATTTTTATACACATTGTAGTGAAGTATACTTTTAATAATATTGTTTCATAGGAGGCTATAATTTTAATAAACATCTTTCAGATTGGTTATAGATTTAACCTTGTCTCCTAGTGATGTATTTTTTTCAGTAACTTCCTAGAGTGTATAATTTTAATGACCTCATTTTAAATGTGTATACTATTATTGGCCTCGTTTTCTAGAGATGTATAAATTTAAAATCCTCGTTTTTAGTTGTGCATAGATTTAATAATTTCATTTTGTAGTGATGTCTACTTTTAATAATTCTGTGTTATAGTATTGTATTCTAATAAAGCCTTCGTCCCCTTGTAGTGTATTTATTAATAATAACCTCGTTACATATTGGTGATTTACTTTCTATTAACTAATTTCTTAGCATTGCATGGCATGAACTCGTTTCGTAATGAGACATGGTTTCATTAAACGTATTTTATGGTAGTGTATCATTTCCTGGTGTATTTCTTTAATCAACTTCATTTTCGAGCCTCTGTTCTTCATAGTGGAATGCCTTATTACAACTTTGTTTCGTAGTGTTGTAGAGTTTTACTAGCCTCGTTTGGAATTGGTGCAATCATTTAATAACTAGTGTAATGACAAAAGTAGGCAGGTGTAACATTTAAGAAAGCTTTATTCAACTGAGAATAATATGTTCGCGTATAGTGTCCTTTTATAGTCACAGTAAAGATAAATATCCCTTTCAAAGAGGAGAGTAACAAAATAAGGAGAGACCACTCTTGATTATTCTAACAACTAGTTCCACTTGTCGAGTAGCATTTTCAAAGTCATTACTACCTGAATAATCCTAAACTCTAAGAAATTCGGTTATTAAACAATGCATCAAATTGATTGCCATTTTCCATTCTGTATTATTAAAATAATATCTGAAAGTCTCGTTTAAATTAATGCAGATTTTACAAATTATTTTGCACACGTTCTTGTATATGCACAACAATATAAGTCAATAAACGATCATTTGAATTGGATGATATTAAAAGTAAATCTAGAGGCTGAATTTCAACCCTTTTTCAAGCATATGTCACATACTTACTTTTGCAAGAGTTGTAATAATTAACCTTATTTTGCAAGGAAACATAACACATTTAAAGGTGGTTGAAATTATTCTAAAGTAGACTGATCACGCAGATAACTGTCAAAAGTTACGATCACCTTAGGCCAAAAATACCCTACGCCATTACACATAACAGTAAAAAGAGATATTACCATTCGGCGTAATTTCAACAGAATTTTTTATTTGTGTTCTGGAGCCAGAGGAAAGAAATCATGGGTTTCGAAAATTTTAAATGTAATCAAAAGTGCAAAAAAAGGATGAAAATATAGAGGTGTTTAATATATATTTTCTCATAATTTTTTTACATGAACACAGAATCTTTGTTTCTGTAGATCAACAAGGGGGAAAAAAAAGTAAGAGGGAAACGGTGTCAAATAATCGGTGTTACATGTTTTAGTGTATACACAATATAGACGCTCTTTGTAAAAAAAAGGTAAAGCTATAAATTTCATACCACAAACACACACACACACACACACACACACACACACACACACACACACACACATATATATATATATATATATATATATATATATATATATATATGGGGTACAGGTATATAAAAAAAAAGAGAGATGTATGTTTGTAAGTCACCTACGCATACACGTGCACGCACACACACAAACACACACACACACACACACACACACACACACACACACACACACACACATATATATATATATATATATATATATATATATATAATATATATGCAAAAGTTTAATTATTGAGAACCGAAATGATTTGTCTTTTTTTTATCGTATTTTTCCAATTTCCGGAAAAGGTGTTGATTATCATGCTCGAAGTTGTAGATAAACTCTCTGAAGTTTATATCTTGTACTTTTTGTTCGAGTAATTTCGACTTTCGCAGTCATTATCAAGAAAAGATGTGGTTCCTGCGTGGTAGTTAGAATTCCTTCGTCGGCATCCTGGTATTCTTTGTGAAGCTGGACGCCTGAAATACTCTAGTGGGTTGTTATGTGTAACGGCAGTATTTGCATTTGCATTTAAAAGCACTAGTTCAACCCGATATGATAGAATAAGTCTAGCAGATTTTTCTTAGTAAATTTCTAACGCAAACAATGATCAACAGCTTCCCAAACAGGTTTTATGATTGAGATTCTTCCACTTAAAGCTCTGTTAAAGAGATTAAGATTGTGTGATCGGAGAAGTATACACTCGATACCTGTCCTTCGAAATAATCAGTTCGAATGGAACTTGCATCGTAGTAACGAAATTCGAAGTGAATTCGGATGATTATTCAGAAAATGCAGATGGCATTGTCGGTCTTAGGTGTGAAAGTCAGCTATTTAAATCGGGAGTGTATCTCGTCGCGATGGAATAGAGATAGGCTTGTGCTGTATCGGCTGTGAGAATGGAGTGGGAAAAATCCATCACCATGAAGTTTATGAAGACGCTGCTTCAGTCTATCAAGGCTGGAAAATGGGGGCTGTTCAACTGCAGCTCAGATATGAAACCATTACTCTTTCATTTTTTATATTTGGTTTTCAAACTTTAAGACATAGCAGGCTGCTCTCAGTCTCTTATTAGAGCTTGAAAAGGAATCTCCAGTTTCCAAGCTACTTTAGCGATGTATTTTATATATGAGTTCTCTTGGGGTAGGCCTCGAATTTAAGTATCAATAGGCGTTCATGATGAAGCATATCCTTGAAAGAATAACCATTCATCATGAAAGTTGAAAATTGAAGGTATGCACAGTGATGTTTGATCGTTAGTAGGTTAGTTTGTGAGGTACTGAATGTTACAAGTTTAACGGAAGACAGCTATGTTAGAGCATTTATCCGTATTTCTACCCCGATATGGTCATTAACCCGGGCCGTTTTTATCTGGAATCATTAAAATGGCTTCTCCAGACACAGGAGTATCTCCGTACTATATGTAAGGCCCTTCCTTTGGTTT